ATGGTACAATATAGTGATATCATAATCCTTAAGCAACTCCAACCATCTCCGCTGCCTCAAATTAAGATCCTTTTGCTTGAACAAATGCTGAAGACTGCGATGATCAGTGAACACCTCACAAGATATGCCATACAAGTAATGCCTCCAAATCTTCAATGCATGAACTATGGCAGCCAACTCCAAATCATGAACGGGGTAGTTTTTCTCATGGGGTTTCAACTGACGAGAAGCATAAGCTATAACTCTACCCTCCTATATCAACACACAACCAATCCCAACTCTCGAAGCATCACAATACACAGTATATAAACCTGAAGTTGATGGCAAAACCAACATTAGAGCTGCGGTCAAAGCTGTCTTGAGCTTCTGAGCTCTTCTCACACTCGTCCGACCATAATGTAGCACCCTTCTGAGTTAACTTGGTCAAGAGCGATGCGATAAATGAGAACCCCTGAACAAACCGGTAGTAATAGCTTGCCAAACCAAGAAAACTACGAATCTCTATGGCCGAGGACGGTCTGGGCCAACTCTGAACCACCTCTATCTTCTTTGGATCAACCTGAATACTCTCGCTAGACACCACGTGCCCCAGGAAAGCCACTGAACCAAGCCAAAACTCACACTTGGAGAATTTTGCATAAAGCTTCTCCTCCCTCAATCTCTGCAATACAACTCTCAAATGCTCCGCGTGCTCCTCCTGACTACGCAAATACACCAGAATATCATCAATGAAGACTATGACGAATGAATCGAGATAAGCCCGGAACACGCTGTTCATCAAATGCATGAACACTGCTGGGGCATTGGTCAGCCCAAAAGACATCACCAAGAACTCATAATGACCATATCGGGTCCTGAAAGCCGTCTTAAGAATATCCGAGTCCCTAATCTTCAACTAGTGATAACCTGAACGGAGATCAATCTTGGAGAACACCCTCGCTCCCTGAAACTGGTCAAATAAATCATCAATGCGAGACAAAGGATACTTGTTCTTAATTGTTACCTTGTTCAATTACCTATAATTAATGCACATTCTCATTGTGTCATCCTTCTTCTTCACAAACAGAACTGGCGCACCCCAAGGTGACACACTAGGCCGAATGAACCCCTTATCTAGGAGCTCTTCAAGTTGCACCTTTAATTCCTTCAACTCCGCTGGTGCTATACGATACGGCGGAATAGAAATGGGCTGAGTGCCCCGCGCCAGGTCAATACCAAAATCAATATCCCTGTCCGGTGGCATGCCCGACAGGTCTGTAGGAAACACATCGGGAAAATCCCTCACAATTGGAACAGAATCAATACTGGGAGTCTCAGCTCCGACATCCCTCACAAACGCTAGGTATGAAAGACAATCCTTTCCAACTATACGCTGGGCTCTCAAGAAAGAGATCACTCTACTAGGAACATAATCAGTCACACCTCACCACTCGATCCGTGGCACACCCGGCATAGCCAATGTGACTGTCTTAGCATGACAGTCCAGAATAGCATGACACGAAGATAACCAATCCATGCCCAAAATGACATCAAAATCCACCATGCTCAATAGTAATAGATCCACTCAGGTCTCCAGGCTCCCAATATTCACCGCACATGACTAGTACACACGGTCTACAATAATAGTATCGCCTACTGGGGTAGATACATGAACAGGTAAAGCAAGAAACTTACGGGGCATACCTAAATAACGAGCAAAATATGATGACACATAAGAAAAGGTGGAACCGGGATCAAATAATACAGAGGCATCTCTGTGGCAGACTGAAACAATACCTATGATAACAACATCTGAAGCAATAACATCGAGTCTGCTTGGGAGTGCATAGAAACGGGCTTGACCGCCTTCTGATTGACCTTCCCCTATGGGGAGACCCCTGGATGCCTGACCTCCACCCTTAGCTGGCTAAGCGATTGGTGGTGAAGAAACTAGCACTGAAGCCGAAGACTGACCCCTCTGTTAGGATGAACTAGCAACACGACGAGGACATTGCCTCCACATGTGGCCCATCTCTCCATACTCATAACAACTCCCAGTGCTAGAGAAGGGGACTAAAGGGAACCCCTCGTACTGGAGTGACTAGCAGATGCACTCGGCATAAAAGAACCCTGAACTGATGGAGCACGAGATGCACTATGAGCTGGAAGGGCGCTGAGTGAGGACTGGCCCTACTGAGATCCATGATAACCATGACCCGAATATGCCCCCCGATAACCTGGGCGGGCTGACTGAGCAGGCCTGAATGAACATCCTCTACTGTGCTGGAACTGTCCCCTCGAAGGAGCACCACTATAACTGCCAGATCCTCGAGGCCTCTTGGCCTCCATCTCCTCTTGCTCCTTACGGCGAACAATCTCAATCTCACGAGCGATATCAACAACCACCTCGAAGGTAGCACTAGTCACCCTCTCTCTGGTCATAAGAATACGGAGGTGGTAAGTAAGACCATCAACAAATTTCCTGATCCTCTCTTGATCTATCAAAACCATCCAGATGTCATGACGAGCCAACTTAGAAAACCTCAACTCATACTATGACACAGTTATATCCCCCTTGTCGCAACCACTCAAACTGTCTACGCAGCTCCTCACTGCAGGACTACGGCACATAATTCTCTAGGAAGATAACGGAGAATTGTTGCCAAGTAAGGGGAGCTGCAACAACAGGCCTACGCCTCTCAAAATCCTCCCACCAAGTAAAAGCAGCTCCTGAAAACTGATAGGTGGTAAAAGCGACACAGTTGGTTTCCAGAATACCGGCAGTACGAAGCATCCTCTAACACTTATCCAAAAAGCCCCGGGCATCCTCGCCCTTTGCGCCACTAAAGGTCAGAGGCTGTAATCTACCAAACCTCTCCAATCTACGTTGCTCATCCTCCGGCATGATAGGAACCACATAGTCCTGAGCTGCTGCGATCGACTGGACTGGATGCGCCCCCGGCATCTGAAGTCCCTGCACTACCTGCTCAGGTGTGCGAGCGGCGGGAGTCTGATTGCCTCTCCCGACTTGTGAAGTAGCTATGACTATAGTGGTTGAAACCGCTTGAGTCAGGGCAGTGCAAACTGATAAGATCTGTGCCAAGGCCTCCTAAAGACGCGGAATCACGATGGGACTGGTGCCTGAACTGGTGCTACTAGAGCATCCATAGCTGGAGCCTGATCCTGAGCTGGGCAGCTGGTGGATCAACAGGTGCTGCCCTCGCTGCTCTACCTCTACCACGACTACATCCTCGGCCTCTGGTGGTCTCAGTTGGTGGCATTGATGGTCATCTACCCCACCCGGTAACGCGTGTCCTCACCATCTGTGAGAGAATAGAATAACAGAAGTTTAGTACCCAGATCAACAAGTTTGCACGACAAGAATTTCAAGAATGTGAAGTTTTCCTAAAGGTTTTGCAGCCTCTCGAGGATAAATACAGACGTCTCCGTACCGATCCGCGAGACTCTACTAAACCTACTCATGACTCGTGAGACCTATGTAACCTAGGCTCTGATACCAATTTGTCACGACCCTAACCCCGAACCCGGTCATGATGGCGCCTCTCGTAAAGACAAGGCCAGCCAGTTCAACCCAACTCTACTTTCAAAGCAGTTAATCAACATGAAAAATAGTCTAAACATGATTTAAACAATACTAAATAGTGGAAATATCGATAACAATGCGGGAAGTCCAACCCAATACAGCCCTAACCGGGGTGTCACAAGTCACGAGCATCTGTAAACCATAATACTAATCTGCTAAAGTCATAAACTACTACAAGTGTTTGAAAGGAAATAGAAATGATAGAGAAGTAGATACACGGG